TGCTCTGATTTTATTAAATTATCGTTGAGGAAATAGAGTGTTACACGACAACATTTCAAAATTTTGAAATTTTCGTGGGTGTAATCGATTACCATATATGGTGTAATCGATTACACGGTGCAATTTTGTTAAAAACTGAGCTTTTGGGAAGGGCGTAATCGATTACCACAGATGGCGTAATCGATTACGGTTGCGAAACATTGATAATGTAGGCAAAGATATGAGTGTGTAATCGATTACCATTTAGGGCGTAATCTCCATCTGTGCTGACAGAATTTTCATAAAACTTGAAAATTTTGTATCTTGGGTTTCGGGTGTCTGTTTGACGCGCCTTTGAACCTTTTGAGAGTTGGTATTGTGTACTTTTGTGTAAAAATAGTTTTATTTATCTAGAACTGAATTAAATGGTGTGTAATGATGTTACATGGTATTAACTATATGTTGTAGTATGATGTCAGTGTTTAAAATGCGTGAATGCACTGCTGTTGCTTTCTATATTGTTAATTGATGTTGTAGAATGTTTAAAGCATGTGTTTAGTGAACAGTGGTCAGTGTTGGCGTAGTATATTGATTATGAATGTTGTTAAAACATAATTGGTGTAATTGGGTGTTGTTTATTGTATGGAAGTGTGACTAGTGGAATGGGTGACTATGTATGAAATAATTTGTTATCTACTTATTATTATGCATTCTTTTATATCATTGTGATATCTCACCCCTTCTGTTTAAATGTTGCCTCCATGTGGGTAACGCACAGGTGATCCGCAATGAAGGTGTAGATGTAAATTGAAGAGAATGCTCTTCTTTATTACTTTTGTCGATGTCGGTGTTTGCTCTGATATATAACATTAGGGTCAAACATTTGAGTGTCATGCTATTTTTGTTAGAGATTTTATAATATCTCTTATGTTGACATTTTTATAATTACTTTATAACATGTTTTGTTGTAAATAAGTAATTGAATACTTTGTTGATATTTTCCATGATAATAAAATGAAGTTAGACATGATGATGTTTACTACTCGTTGTTATTAATAGTTTTAAAGGTTGTATTTGTTGCATGTTATTATAATATGAGCAGATTTGCGTTTAATGAAAGTAGCATCCTAATTGTATGAATGTTTTTTAATTACTCAGATTTTTAATTATAAATACGCAGAGGAAAATTAGACGGTTGCATGATGCATTATTAAAGTTTGTAGCTTCGGTTTCTCATGTGTCGGTGTACCACCCTTTTAAATCCATATATATTTCGCGTATAACTTACGCAAATAATTCAAATAATATCACCAACAAGGATGTCACATCTTCATATAAACATCATATAAAATATCCTGCTCCGTAACACGCATTTTCAAAACATTTAAAACAATTATTTCTTTAATATCATCAAATATCAAATTCAAAATTACCACAACGGAATCATAGTTTCAAAACATCTTTATTAAAAATACTTCATAGAGTCTTCCTCACACTTCATCGTTCATGATTCATAAATCAAACAATTAAATACAATGAAAGATAACTCATCATCTCAAAATAAGCAAGAGAATATAATAGTTTCAAAACAAACATTCTCAACCTCGATGTTACATATCAGAGCAAGACCTTCTATATTCGAGTTTGCATAAGACAAATAAAAACTCAAAAGTAGAGAAGATGGAAATCTGGAATTTACACTGAGGAGGAGATTTATTTTATGTTATAGTATTTTCTGGATTTGAAATGATCAATTTTATAGGCCAAGTAATGTTGTTTCACAAGGTTGCTACCCTTGATGAAACACACCTTTTCAACAACATTTATTTACTAAGTGTTGTAACTTTTTGCCTACTGCCTATTTTTGATTGCTTATTGCAACATTTCACGAAGTGTTGTCTATTTTCATATTAAAAAACAACTCTTTATAAAATGTCATGTTATTATTGAAACATAATAATTATTATGTGTATTAATCTATTTATTAATTAATAATTACAACAAATATATTTCCAACAATTTTTGCGTTGGTTGAGTAGACATGTTGTGCTTAAGGATTCTTTCTAAATAATTTGAGAAGCCACTTCACACTTGAACCCAATCTTTATTTAGTTTTAGACATACATGAATCTATACAGATTGCTAATAATAATCTTGAAAATGATTAGTAAAATTCTCCATATTTATATATGTAATGTATCAAACACATTTCATAAAAATTTATGCGATAGATCAAAGACAAAAAAAGTTTACAATTTTTTTTTAACATTAATAAACCATCTTTAAAACTTGGTTGTCTTCATTGTTGGTGTCGCTATCATCATTGTTGTCGTTAAATAAATCTTGATGGTTTTAAATTACAGTTGTGGCTACGGATTCAGTTGTGGTTAAGATAATTGCGGTTGTGGCTATTGTAGATACTGCGATATGGATTATGATCATTGCGGCGTGAATTTATTTTTTATAAATATAAAATATTATACTTTCTTACTTATTTTATATTTCACATATCTTCTATTTCATCTCTAAATTTTTACATATATCTCATTAACAATTCACAATCATTTTGAATATCTCTAATCCTTTAAAATATATCTTAAATCTATCATATAAGTAGAAAGGAAAGTAGACCAAATAAATTTTGTAAACAATACATAATCTAATGCGGCCTGATGTGGTCTAATGCAGTGTTATGATGCGGCCATTGCAATGTTATGATGCAGATTTTTGTGCGATTTAGAATCACACTGCAATTATGACCTAATATGGATGCGAACACTACCGCAACCACAATATTACGGCCACATCACGTGATGCAATCCGCAATTTAACATCATTGTTGACTCATTTTGTGATGCAGAGACATTGAATTTGAATCCATATATTATGATTTATTTTATGTTCAAATATTATTTTTATTAATTTTAATATGTTATCAAAATAATTCTTTTAATTTTAGTTCATTTAAAATTAAAAATATTTTCTATTAATATATAACTGTGAATTATATTATCATACCAAATACCAACCTGGGCTTAAATCTAAAGTTTGTGATTGGTGGAACAACAACTCTTGGTCTTTGAATAACAACACCCTTGCTGCTATTCCTTCTCTTAAGCCTCTCATCACTCCTTTTGGTCTTGCAGAGCAGAACACTAAGGAATCCTTAGCCTGGAAAAGTATTGATGATGGTAAACTTAGTATCAAGCATGTTTATCACATTATTTGGAAATACCTCATCCTATTGAACTATTTCTCATTGGGACAAGGACACGGCTCCTGCTCATTATATGATAGTGTGGAGACTTGTGCACAATAAAATGCCTACAGACGAAAATCTCAAGTTGAGGGGCTTTTCTTTCCCTTCCAAATGTTTTCTCTGCTCTGACTCTTGTGAAACTTCTTCACACCTTTTCTTTGAATGCTCATATGCTACAAACATATGGAAATGGTTGTTGGCTAAGTTGCAGCTCAACTTCTCTATGAAGATCTTAGAGGATTGTGAAAAAATTTGGAAACAACCTTGGAATCCTCAAGTTGTTGTTGTCGCTAAAGCTTGCGTTTGTTTTGCTTTCTATCAGATTTGGCATGGTAGGAACTTATCAAGATTTGAGGATAATATGATTAATTGGAAATACTGCATATCTTTGATCTCCGCTCGAGCCAAAATGATCGGTAACTTCACTTCTAAGACTTCTAATGCGGACATCACCAGCTTTGCTTTGCTTAAAAGCTTTATTGTTTGCATAAAACCCTGGCCCACTCTTATACTTGTGGAAGTTCTTTGGCTGCCTCCTCATTCAGGATGGACAAAATGCAACATAGATGAGGTTGCATCTGGTTATCCTCTTCTCTCCGCATGTGGTGGTATCTTTAGGGGTTACAAGGCCACTCATTTACACAGCTTCAGTGTTTACTTGGGTGATGGATCCCTGGTTTTTGTTGAGTTTATGGCAGCCATTGTAGCTATTGAGAAAGCCAAGGAGTTAAGGCTTGCTAAGTTTTGACTCGAATATGATTCTATGCGTGTGGTTAAAGTGTTTTCGAATCTCGTGAAAAATCAAATCTCGTTGGCTTACGTGTTGGGCGTATACCCTTAATATTGACTTCATGATCACACTTATTTTTAGGAAAGTCAACTTTTGTGCGGATTTTCTAACAGATATAAGATTAAATTTCAAAGCTGTTAACTGGTATAACTTTGTTCACAAAGACATTAATTCTGATTACTTGCTAGACAAGAATGATATCCCTAAACTAAGACTTTGTCATTAAGAGTTTTTGATTTAGTCCCTCTCTTGTGTCTCTCGTAATCTCTTTTCCTTTTTTTTTTTTAATGTATTTTGGTTTATTAAAAAAAAAATTCACTTTTTTTCTTCTTATTTCTATTTTTCTTTAAATCAATATCTTTAATTTTTTTCAATTTTTTGATCAAATCTTTTCATATATTTTCACTATCCTTAATTTGAAAGATTTTTTTCTAATCAAATCAAATCTTCACTTTCATTAATTTAAAAGATTTTGTTAATAAAAATTAAATCTTCACTTTCCTTGATTTGCAAGCTTTCTGTAGATATATTAAAAATAAAAAAAAATAAAAAGCTCAATAAAAACGAAAAGGTATAAATACCCATTCTTTCATAAATCTCTGAACTCTCAAACTTTGACACCATTGCTGTTTCATTTCTCCTCTTCACTCATTGACGACGCACTCTTTCGGCTTGTTTGCGACGGTCGTTCCTCCTCGCTTATTGACTTCCATTGGTTCGTCATCTCACTTTCTTCATTTCCTGTTTTTGTGTTTTGTTTTTCATCATTCTTGTTTCTACGTTGTTCTCAGTGAAGTTCTAGGGTTTTCAAGGGTCTAGGGTTTTGATCAATCTGTGATTTTTAATTTGAGAATGTTAGAGTTTCTAGCAGTAAGGGAAGATTCAGTTTGTTTTTTAGTTTATTTGTTCATTCAAAACTTTATAATGGCAAATTCTATAGTATACTAATGTTGGTTGCTGTTTTAGAGTATCATGGATACCAAAGTGGCGAGGTTCAACGGAACTAAACGGGTCATTGGGACGAAAACATGCATCTTTTGGCTCAATGGAAGATGCAACAGAGATCGTTGTAGGTTTTTGCACGGTGAACCACCATCATACGCATCAACTCATTCTTGGAATTATAATGAAATGAAGGGACGTTTCTCTTCAACACCGTATCATAATTCGAATAAGGGCCTTCCCAAACATAATGGCAACACTCTTTTAAATAGAAAGATTGGAGATGACAAGTTGCCTCCCAAATGTAATTCTAAGACTGTCTTTATTAGGAAGACCGCGGAATACAAGTTGCCTCCCAAACATGCTACTATTGGAGATGACAGAGAAAAGACACAAGTTGCTATGGTTTCTCCAAAGCATATCTGCAAATATTGGATGAATGGCGATTGTGTTCACGGTGAACAGTGCCGGAATTTACATTCATGGTCTTATGGTGATGGCTTTGCCACATTAGCAAAGCTTCAAGGACACACGAAGGTACTTAGGCTTATAACGACAGCCATTTTACATTTCTGTTTAAAGCTAGAAATTTTGGCTTCTCTTTTAGTTGATGATTCTGAAGTAGTTTAATTGAAATATTTGTGAGCAGCTTGTCACCGGAATTGCACTTCCACATGGATCAAACAAACTTTATTCTGGCAGCACTGATGGAACACTTCGAACATGGGACTGTCATACTGGTCAATGTACTAATTTGATGAATCTTGGTGCGGAAGCTACCTCTTTGATCAGTGAGGGCCCGTGGATTTTTGTTGGTCTGCCTAACACTATCAAGGTAACCTCTTATTCTTACTTCAATTATATAGGACCGTTACTTGTAAGCTGATTATGCCATTGTGGTTTTTGTGCAGGCGTGGAATATGCAGACTGCTTCACATTTAACTCTTGGTGGACCTAAGGGACGAGTACTTGCCATGATTGTTGGCAATGATACACTCTTAGCTGGAGCAGAGGTAATTACCCACACATTGGTGTATGGTTGTTATATAGATACATCAGATTTTTTATTCTCTAATCACTACTAGTTGTATATTCTGTTCTCTTACTTTTGTAACAATTCATTTATGTTAAATTTGATTGTTTAAATCACAGGATGGTGTAATTTCTGCATGGAGAGGCAGCTCTAAATCCAATTCCCCTTTTGAACTGGTTGCATCGCTATGTGGTCACACTAAATCTGTTGTTTGCCTGGCTGTTGGATGTAACAAGATGTTGTACTCAGGATCCAAGGATCAAAGCATTAAGGTATTTTTTCTATTGTTTGGCATTACTGAGTCTCAGTGAATCTTTCTTCTATGTTAGCTCTACATAATTGCTTGTTGCTTAATATATATTTTGTTGATAATGATTTATTATTGTTTTATTCAGGTTTGGGATCTAGACACATTTGAGTGTAAAATGACACTTAATGCACATACAGACGAAGTCACGTCCCTCATTTGTTGGGACAATTTCTTGTTATCTGGTTCATCAGATTCCACTATCAAGGTCTGGTATAAAACCGTCCAGGAAACATTGGAAGTTGCATATTCACACAATGTAGAAAATGTAAGTTACTTAGCTAGTATGTTTAACATCTGTACATTGTCGAACATCATTCGGTTGCGTTTTTTCGTTTGTAGTAGTCAAATTAACATATCTTGTAACAGTCATGAATGAAAGGGGTTACTGATTTTTTTAACTCGGATTAGTACAGGGCGTTGTTGCACTCTCTGGGATGACTGATCCAGAAAATAAGCCTATATTGTTCTGCTCTACTAGTAACAATTCAGTTCGCCTCTATGAACTGCCATCGTAAGTAAACTTGCAACATCACCATCACATTCTTATGTAAACTTGAATTGGTTCTTGACCGCATCTCTACATTTATGATTTACAGATTTTCCGAGAGGGGTAGATTGTTCGCTAAGCAAGAAGTTGGATTAATTGATACAGCTCCGGGTGGACTCTTCTTCACCGGAGACAGAACTGGTTTGCTGACTGTCTGGAAATGGTTGGAAGAGCCCAAGATTGCAGCATCCTCTTGAGTCATGACAGTTTTTTCTCCTGATTTTGCTTTCTTCCACCAACTACTTAACAATGTTGATGTAATTTGAATGGTCCTTTTAGCTTTAGGCAGAAGGTCACACTCTTACCAATCATTAATTGGAGAAAGTTAATTGTAAAAGCAAGTATGTATATATTAAACAGAGCAGTTTCATTTATATTTTTTGCTCTCTTCTGCAGCTCTGCTGTTAGTTAGAGACCTAGAGGTACTTATTGTAAACAAAGTATATATTAAATAGAAAATTCCAATTCCATTTTTCTGTTAGTAGCTAAAAATAACTTAAAAGACAGAAGTGAAAATATAGCAAGACTATTATTCAAAATCAAAATACTAAGAAATCAAAGGAGAAATTTTTTGTCTAAATTGATCATATTGCTAGTTGTGTGCATGAATACAATTGTATGTGAAAAGTACATGTCATCCTAGTTTTTTTTTTGAGCAAGACATGTCATCCTAGTTAAAACCTGCAATTCTGCTTATGTAGAAGACAAGTTTGACAACAATGATTCTAAACTATGATGTCTTAAACAATTCAGTTTTAATTGGATTCCTAATTAGCTTCCTAGCATTTTGAAATAATTTGATTCTTAATAGTGAAACAGTTCAGCTAAATGAAACAGCTCAGCTAAGTGAAACAGCATAAAGCTCTACTCATGATTGTTTATCCTTTCCATGTGACTAATTGTAATAAATAATGGTGTTAATAGTATGTGAATGTTAATGAAACATAAAAGAGATGTAATTTAAAAGTCCAATTTTTTACATGACACTGTATACTATTTGTTCTGGACTGGCCCAATGTCTAGAATTGGCCCAATCCACTTCTATCCTTGGCGCGGTCCAATAACACCGGCCCAGTATCCCTGGCCGACCACAGCCCAAGAGGCGCAATCAATGATGTCTGATGCGTACATCTGTCCAAGAAAGCAGCTACCTCTCCGTCTGCCCGACACGAGTCGAGCAGACAACCAGGAACCGTCCAAAACGCCTCTCCATCCGTAATCTGTCTCCTCCTCAGAACAAATGGCTAGTTGCGAGCACGTCTGGCCGTTTTGACCAAGTCCTGACAGTTACTTACTTTTGCGGACCCGCATATCTAGGCCTAAAAATAGGGACCACTGGCCAAGCATCGGGGGCATTAAAAAACCCTCACACATGTGAGGGCCAAATATTCAATATTCAAACCTTAGATCCTAATATTCTGCTTGTATCTCTTTGCACCCATTCTTACTTGATCGTCGGAGTGCCTTGCGCCCCCCCCCCCCCCCCCCCCCCTTTTCCTCAACTTTCCAGCAAGTAAGATATCATCCTTCGGCCACTTGCAGGTTCTGATCAACTGGTAAGATCAGTGGCACCGTCTGTGGGAAACCATCTTCCACGTCTTCTTTTCCTGTAAATCGAAGACCAAAGATACCTTCAATTCTTCAACCATGACCGACCATGATGATCATCACCTCTCTGGAAAGACTGAACTCTTCTCGGTCCACAAGACCGACGGAAGCCAGGAGCGTCTTCACCTCGAGGATGACTTCGACGTCAGGGACAGACGGACTGCGTCCCCAGATTCAGTCGATGCCCAGCGTGACGACCAACAGTTCTTTGACAAGCAGTATCCTAAGAACCCTACCAAGGAACTGCCAAAGATTTTGCAACCAGTTCCCATTCCTCAGAATGTCGACCCGTCCATGGCAACATTGCTCGTTTCCCTGAACCAGACCAGCGCTCTTATCCTACAGCAGAGCAAGAGGATAGGGGCCTGGGAGAAGAAGCAGTCAAAGTCTCCTCCTCGGAGACACCGGCGATACGACTCCCCCAGCCTATCCCCACCTAGGCGTGGTCGTCCAACTATAAGGGAGAAGCATGAAGTTTCTTTCCTCAAGAACACGGTTGTACACCTCCCAAGAAAGATCAAGGCTCCGCTTCTTCCAAGAAGACGAAGAGCAACCGCCGATTTGACCGCAATCGATCACCGTCGCCCAAGATTAGGCAACAAAAAATAAGCCCTTCTCCCCGACGGGAAAACGATACCCGATGAGGAAGGAGTCACCATTCCTCGCCTCCATATCCTAAAGGAATCGACGACGACGAGCCCCACGGCCCGTTATCAAGGGAGATTACAAAGACCCGGCTTCCAGTCGGCCTAGAGAAACCACCCCTGCTGGGAACATATGATGGTACAACTGATCCCGATGAATATATAAAAAAAATTGACGCCCTTCTCGACTACCCATGAGTCAGGGGCGCAATCAAGTCTAGGTTGTTCCCGACTACCCTGAGGAAAGGTGCCATGTCTTGGTATAAAAGTCTTCCAGACGAATCTATCACCTCATGGAAGCAATTAGGGAATATGTTCTCGAGGCATTTCACAACATCTTGCCGATATCCCAAGTCAGAAGCATCACTAGAAACAATCATCCAAGGGAGGGATGAGTCACTTCGGGCTTACATCGAGCACTTCAACAAGGAAGTTATGCAGGTCTCTATGATCGACGACATGAAAAAGTATCTCCTCGAGCGCGGACTCCATCCCTAAAGTGACTTCGTCAAAGCCGTTGGCATCGAGACTCCATCCACGCTCGACTCCCTTCTACTTAAAGCCCAAGCGTACACTCAGTACGAGGAGAAGCAGGCAGCTAACAATGTAAGAGACACACGACACAGGGAGAATGCTAAGGCCTCGAAGAATGATGAACCCTCGACATATCATCGAGGAGCAGAGAAAAAGAGAGAAGACAAGTTCCGAGACTCTAAAGACCATCGAGAGCCAGATGGTTGTTTTCATGATTACACCCCTCCTCAATGCCTCTCGCGAGCGTATTCTGGAAGAATGTGCTAGTTCATAATTCCAGCAAGTCGGGGTACGCTTTCCCTGCCAAACACCATCCAAGCTTGGGACAGATAAAAGTAAATATTGCAGGTTCTACAAGAGCCATGCGCACAACTCTAACGATTACATCCACCTCAAAGGTGCAATTGAGATACTCATCCGGGACGGATATCTCAAACAATACAAGAAAAAGGAGAATTGCCCGCAAAGAAACTCAAGAAGTCAAGAGTGTTGAAAAAGAGAAGGACTCCTCCGACACAAGCCTCATCCCAATCGCTATGAGCATCACAAGACCAGAGGATTTCTACTTTCCTGATATGGAAGAGGTTCCACTGTACTTCTCTTTGCATAGTTCTTGGAAACCTTTCCCGACGACAATGGTAATCTCAGGAGGGGGATTCACAAGCCCACGGTGGGTTTAATGAAAAGGAGGTTCGACCACCTGATAAAGGCCAACCCTAATATGGACGCCGCCCTCGACAAATTTAGGGGAGGTTGTCATCCCCTCACATTCTACCAGGAAGAGTTTTCGATCGGGCCCCCCAACTCAAGCATCCCACTCCTTGTACAGGCACGCATGGAAAACTTTAACGTCCAACGCATTTTGGTTTACTAGGGAAGCTCGGTGGACATAATATACACCCAACTATTCAGCACTCTACAACTAAATGAGACTCATATGACCTCATATGTAGGCTCATATCTCCAAGGGTTCAACAGATTCGTCACCAAACCCTGGGGATACGTCGAGTTGATTGTTACCTTTGGGACGGGCATAATGGCTAGGGCCATCACAACCCAATTTCTAGTGGTAGATTGCACGTCACTCTACCAATAGATATTTGGAAGACCCACTTTGACCGAGTTGATAGCGGTACCCTCCACCGTACATCTGAAGATGAAGTACAACACTGCTGGAGATTTGGTCGCCACCCTTCACGAGGATATCCAATCCATAAGGAGATGTTTCAAAGCATCGGCCAAGAGCCTAAGTTCCATCACTGCATAGCCCCAAACGGCCAGTAGATCTGCCCTTCCCTCTAGCTCCGAGGAACCCAGGTCACTGCTATGAGTTGACACCATCGACCTAGACAATCGCTTCTTGAAAGAAGACTTTACAGAGCGGAAGAGAAAGGGAAAAGATCCCATGATCGAAGGAGAAATCTCATCCTCGACAACAAGCAGTGATGAACCCGCTCATTCCATGCGATTGATCCCAAACGGGGATTTCGAAATCGTTCCTCTCGGGAGCAATCCCTCCAGAGGAGTGAAAATTGGTGGTGACCTCCCCAATCTGGCAAAGAGACAATTGGAAGCATGCCTGAAAGAGAATGTTGATCTATTCGCTTGGTGTGCAGCTGAAATGCTCGGACTGGATCCAGAAATAGCTTGTCATCATCTGACAGTAGACCTAGTCCTTAAGGAGGTTGCTCAGCGTAGACAAAAGCAATCTCCGAAAAAAATGGAGGCTGCCGAGCAGGCTGTAAAAGACCACTTAAAAGATAATTTTATTTTTGAAGCCCAATACACAACTTGGATCTCAAATGTAGTCCTCGTTAAAAAATCTAATGGAAAGTGGCGTATGTGTATTTATTATACTGATCTCAATTGGGCTTGCCCGAAAGATGTTTATCCCCTTCCCAACATCGAAAAACTGGTTGATAATTCTACAGAATTTAAATTACTGTTTGTTGTACCCCAAAATTTGCCCTCTCATTTCTCAAAGGATCATCTTGGACCCTCAGGTTTGCTTTCATCCAATTCCAAGCCTTGAATTACAAATTTTCCAAGAAAGTCATTCACAAGGACAAAATGGTCATTTGCATACTGAAAAGTCAAACTTTGACTTTTGGATCAAAGTCAAGTTTCAAGAGTCATATTTCATCAAGACATGTTGAAATATGAAGTTTGTTTCATCAAGAAATTCAAGAGTCAAAATTACTTTGGAAAAGTCAAAATTTTAAATACTTAGAATTTTTCTAAGTGTTTAAGAAATATGACAAGCTCAGAACTTCTGGGCCAGTTTTCACGTAAGTTCAATCAGAAGTTGCAAGAGTAACTCAAGGAGGGCTTACAAAGCATGTCATAAGCTTTTTGGAAAGTCTGAGAACTTGCTCAGAACATGCTGAAGCAAAGAGATTAAAGGATCAGAA